TAAGATTATGGGTTGATAAACAATTAGTGTAGTTGAGTTGTCAAAATGTTGATACTAACCGTTGAATATAGGTTTTTTAGTTGATTGTTGATTAGGTTTAGTTCAACTAGGGATTAGTTAAGTTATTGGTTAGGTTTAGTTAAAGAGAAAATGACAAAAAATGATTCCTAAATTTCAAAATCCCAAATGGTCACCTAAATAAGCAAAATTCCAGTTTAGGTATGGGTGATCAAATTGGAATTTGCAAGTTGGCTGAAATAACCATATTGTCCTTTATTTTTATCAAGAAAAGAAATCAAACACCCTTACCGACTAGCTAGTCGTCAGAGTTTAAGTGAGCCACCATCACCAAAGCTCCGCCAATTGGCCGACGACTAATCACTGGAGCTCCAACGACAAGCATTTATTTTTTGGGGGATTTTTTTCAAGTCCAGTAATGTAATTAACAAGTTCTCTAATGCTATTAACAAGTTTGGTGTAGCAGTTAACAATAGGTTTTTCAAAAAATTCAAAAAGTGGCATTTTTAAAACTTGAATAATGCGTTTAACAAGATCTGTAATACTATTAACAAGTCCAGTATAATTGTTAACAATAGGTTTTCCAAGAAATTCATAAAGTAATATTTTTACAACTTCAGTAACGTGGTTAACATGTCATGTAATGATATTAACAACTCTCATAGTGCCATTAACAAAATTTCCCTATAAAGGTTAATGTTTTTAATACTAGCTCCCTGTAAAGGTTATACAACAAAATTTTTCCATTTATTAGACAGTCACTATGGTTATGAGAGTTATTAATATCATTACATAACTTATTATTATAGTTGTTAGTGGTATTATGAGAGTTGTTAATATCGTTACATGACTTATTAACCAAGTCACTGAAGTTGTAAATATGCCATTTTGAATTTTTCAAAAAACCTATTGTTAAATGCTATACTAAACTTGTTAATAGCGTTACTTAGCTTGTTAACTACATTACTAAAGGTATAAAAATGCTACATTTTGAATTTCATGAAAAACCTGTTATTAACTGCTATACTGAACTTGCTAATAACGTTAAAAAAACATTTTAATTGCATTATTGGACCTAAAAAAATCCCCAAAACAATAGTTGTCAGCTGCCGAAGCTCCAGCAGCCAGTCTTCGAAGCTTTGGTGACAGGTAACCTACCTAAACTCTAGCTGGGGTGCCAGCGGCCAGTCTTCGAAGCTTTGGTGACAGCCAACCTACCTAAACTCTAGCGGCCGCCCTGGCACCGGAGCTCTAGTGACCGGCTAGGCAATGAGGGTGTTTGGTGTTTTTTTTTAAATAATGGGCAATATGGTCATTACAGAAAATTTGCAAATCCCAATTTAGTCACCTATACCTAAACTGAAATTTTGCTTATTTAGATAATCATTTGGTGATTTCATTATTTAACTATCATTTTTCTATCTTTTTTCCTTAGTTGAATTATGATTAGAAATTTTGGTTATCATAGTGTTAGATTTGAGTTTTGACATTAAATGGCAATGAATTGTTCATTGAGTTTTAGTTGAATTTTAGTTCAATTGTTCATCGAAAATATTGGCTTAGCATTAAATTGGTTTGTCAGCTAGAATTGGTCTGTATTGATTTAGTTCAATGAGGCGAGGTTCTATATGAATTAACTTGTTATTATGTGGAAAGTTACTTTTCATGGCAGTTAATAAAAAATTGCATGCAAAGTTGTCCATAAACAACAGTTATGGAGGACTTTCCATAGTGGTATTTTACTAAACACTACCGTGAAAAGTAATTTTCTACAGCAATATTGTAACCATCATTAAAGTCTAGTTTATTACGTCGATAACATACGCCGCCTTTGAAACCATAGTAAAAAGTCCTTTTTAACTACCGTAAAAAGCTACAGTAGTGTTGAGAAGAATAATTGAGAATTTTAAACTGCGTAATATTGTGTGTTATACTTGACAGTTTTTAGAACACAATCGTCATATTTGTTGAATCATACTTCACGGTTCATTGTGAAAGATCGTCATGTTCCAATATTAATACATGATGGTTTGGCATTAGAACTATCAAGTATTTTTGCTTCATTTTTTTTAATTATGGGATACTTCTTTTTTTAGTAGCTCCTTACATTACTTACATAAATATACACAAAAGCAACATATTACAGAACCAATTAATTAACTAAAATAATAGGAACATTTTTTTGCCAGTAATAGAAACTTATATGTACAAGTATATTTACAATTATTTTTGAATGTGTCATATAGATACAAACATTTATAAAAGTCAGAAACCTATATTCTAAGTGGTAAATTTTGTATCTATATATGGCAAATGGCCAGGACAACTAAAACCAAAATTGGCTATGTACATATATTACCTCCGATTCTTAATATAAGACCTTATTTAACTTTTTTTTTGTCTTAAATATAAGACCCCAATCCACTTTATCTCTCAAATTTATTCTTTTTTTTTATAATAGTCATTTTAATAATAGTAATTCTAACCAATAAACTGATTAGCAAGGATATTTTAGGAAAGACAACACCTATTTATTACAAATAACTAACTTAATTTATTTTCTTAATCTATTCAAATTAGTTAATTAACTCTTATATTTAGGACTAGAGGTAGTATAAAAATATTAAAATCAATATTGCCTAATTTAACTTGTATATATGTATTGTATAGCTATCTTTGCATCAGCCATTGATGAAGCATGGTAGTAGCCAATTCCTCTAAGAATTCATCCACTTGAGCGGGTGAATATTATTGGGAATATACATTCTCAAAGTGCTGCATGCAAAAATAAACAAATTATCAAACTTATAGCTTGATAAATTTGAAAGTATAAATTGAACTTTGAACATATGCATACATACATTATTAGGAAAAGTGGGGTGATGGTGCATGACTGTGTCTTTTATATGCTTCATCACGCAATACCCACATTCAATATTGTTTTATGGTTATTGTGAGCACTGTAAAAGAAATTAAAATTAAAACTGATCAGAAAAATAAACTATATATAGTTACTTCAATCACTAGTCAATGAGAAAATATATATATATATATATATATATATATATATATATCATTAGTCTCCTTCATGGAAACGCGTTTTTGAATTGGTTGCTTTTGGGTGGGGGATTTTCAAGCTTAGTTTGTGTACGTTTACAACCACAGCTTCGAAAATAAATATATAAAAAAATTTGATGATGATAAGAATATATATAAATATCCTTGTTCAATAATTAAAAGAAAATTAAACGTATTAATTCGTTGAACATCCCGTCATATGCAACCGATAGTCCGGAAAGCAGATAAGAGAATCAAGGTACCAAGTCTTTTGCCTCAATGGATTCAGTACAATGAGCACCCAGTGGCCCCTGATTAGATACAAGAATCAAAATTGAAACAATTAATAATAATCATACCAAAACAATTTACATTTAAGAAAATTAAGTAGTAATTTGACCCCAAAAAAAAAAAGAAAAGAAAATTAATATACCCATCTTTAGCTTTAAGGTGCCAAGAAGAAAGTGTAATTCATCTCTACAGCCCTTTTAATGAAGGAATCTGCTAGATTCCTCAATTGAGTACCATCACGGAGGAAAATGTCATGGGGACAAATGAACTTAAATCTATTAGAGCTGAAGGGAACTATGTGATTTAGGTATAGGAACCTTAAATGCCAAAACAAACATATCGATGTAGAAGTAGCTACGTATAAATAATCATGGTTGCAAGTTCGTGCCGCTTACACACGCCATATCATGCTTCAAGAGTATGAAAGTACTTCTTTGCAAATAAATTCCCACTAGAGTCATCATAGACCTTTGTCTCAAACCCCACCTTCAAATAATAATCGCCTCCAATCGCTCCAGTGACTATCGTTCCATGATCTTCAAGACGTTTTCGAGCTGTCAATGACTTTGGCTTAGGCTGTTTATTGGTCTTTTCATTGCATGATATTGAATCGAAATCCTTCAGCATGCTCTTTGGCTTCTTAGCCTAAAAAACATATCCGCTCCAAAAGCAAAAAGCTCATAACAATGAAATTTTCATTAAGTAAGAACACTAATTATATAATTCTCATATAATCAATTTACTAAACTACTTTCCTAATGTTCCAAAAGCAAAAAGTTAATAATTAGTTTTTTTAATTAAACTAAAAGAAGGACGCATCTTCCATCAATCACTCATAAAATAAAGCTGCTATTCATACAATTACATGATATCTCTCTTGATTCGCTCATTGAGATTTAATGGGTTTTGACCTTTGATCCTCATGATCCTCCTCATGTGCTTACATTGTGCAAACTAAAATATCCATACTCATATTGCAAAGTAATATTTACTTCAATTATGAGCTTGCGTCATTCCTGAACAAAAAACCGATCATATCGACACTACCAATCTTGTCATCACCATGGGTTCTTATTCATCCAAATTTGCATACAATATATATCATTCCTCTGGTCCTTAATATAAGACATGTTTAACTAATTTAATTATATTAAAAAAGTTAGGTAAGTTAGTTATTATAAGAAATATGATATGTTTTTCTTAAAATACCATAATCATCTTCCTTAATATCCTCTCTCCCACTTCTACTTGATTATGATTGAAGGAATATCCATAAAAGTAATTTAGAAAAAATTGATAAATATGAGAAATATGTCTTATATTTAGGACTAAAATCAACTTAACAATTAAGTTATATATTAAAGACCGGAGGAATAAATAAAATTGGATGCTATAGTGTAAGTATAAAAAGATAGTCGTTGTGTAATCATTGATAATTACTGATGTTTTATGGTCCACAAGTTGAATAGCGGAATAGAGGTCATGAGAAAATAAGCAAAACAGTCTGTACAAACTGAAGGAGGGAGAATAATGATCTGAATACATGTACCGTCCTCAAATTCTTGCTTGGCTAGCTGTTCAGGGGCGCCAGAGTTGCGTATTCCTGCTGTTTCTTTATGGTGGAGAGGAAAAGATTCCTGCTACGAGAATTTTATGCATCGGCCTCGGCAGGAATATACAGAAGGATACAAACTTTCTCCGCGTCCATAGATGGCTGAAAGTGAATACAGTTCATTGAAGAACTGTCGGGATGATGGGAAAAAAAGTTAATAACTTTTCAGAAACGAGTTCTTCTTTGAGGCATGATCCACACTCGCTTCTCTGCCAGCAAAATCTCTCAAAACAAGCTCCACCTCTTCCACCACCCCAAGTTTTCGGAACCACCGAGCTAATATCTCTGAACCTTCTTTCTGAACAACAATGCCATCTCTCTCCAAATCCATCAGAAACCCTAACGCTTCATTAAGCTTGTTTTCCTTTTCATATGCAACCATACTAAAGCTATGCATTTATCTGAAGCTTCAATACCTGCTCTTCTCATATTCTCAAATGCAATTCGAGCTTTTCGACTTTGCCCAGCTTTTCCATAGGCATTGATAACAAGCCCACACATTTTATCATCAGGCAGATACCGGCCAACTGGATTGCATCAAAAACCCTTTCAGCTCCTTCAGTATCGCCAGCCATAGAGTAGCCTCTTAGTAATGCTTTGTAAACTTCACTGCCTGCATGAATCTCTTGTGCATCCATTTCTTTAAGTAAACTTTCCGCTTGTCGAGGCATGCCAGCTCTGATGTAGGCCATTATCACTGAACCATATGATCTTTGATCCAAAGGTTCTCCAAGCAATGTGATCTCCTCGAAATATTCCATGGCCTTCTGAAGATGATCAGCCTTACTGTACATGTGAACCATGGTAGTCAGAGTTACTTGATCACAGATGAAGCCCCTTTGTTTCATGACCGTAAGAAGATTTTCAGCATCTTGAAGTCGATTTTGTTTGCCATAATAATGGATTATCTTCGTATAATCACGAGCATTTGCTTCAAATGATTCTTCTACAAGTGCATGTTCTGCCACCTATGCCAGAGTTTCAGTTCAGGTTACGAGGAATACATATACAAGGTTTCATTCAAATGCAAGTATATGTGCAAAAAATTTTCCATAGTCAAATTTGAATGGCAACAATCAAGAGAGTAAATCACCATAGGTGGACAAATTTACGTATATGAAATTAAAGATACTAGCATGAAGTGAAAGGGGGTTCAGACAAGAGTATGACATAAATCAGTGAAGCAAAGTGATTGACTGAATACAGGAATGGGAAATTCAAATTTCTTTACAACGGACAACATAGAACAAAGGAAGCCTCTACCAAATATATTTCCTACAATGGTAGAAACTTGTGTCTTGTATCAAAAAAAAAAAAAACAGAAACAAACAAACAACAAACAACAAGCCTTATCCCACTAAAAGTGGGGTCGGCTACATGAATCACCGACGCAAAATCGTGCTCTGTCACAACCCAATCCTTAGATATGTTGTTGATTTAGGAGTCTCGTTCAATGACCTCATTCAGCGTTCTTCTCGGTCTTCCCCTACCTCTTTTATGGGACTCCATCTTGTTTGATCCACCCTCCTCACCGGGGCCCTCCAAAGGCCTTCTCTGCACATGTCCAAACCATCTTAAGCGA